AAAATATGCACATGTGAAGTTAATTCACCTTTAGTATCCTGAACTCCCACGAATGAAGTGCTTATGTCCTGTTCCATGTGGCACGTATTGCCCGTTTTTGTTTGAAGGTGCCTTGACACACAAACGCACTCGTTCAGCGATCTATTTCTTGTCTTGTTTTAAGTCTGAAGACTGTAATCAAAGAGAGACTCATAAGATGTCAGTTTTTTTGGTCAATTTGTCTAACATTATCTTGACCACATAACCTTTAGATTTTGCTTTATATTTATTTCTCGGTTACCACAAACTGATGTGCTAATGATTTTGTAGGTAGTTTAGATAGATTGCGGAATGCAGCTGAATAAGTAGTTGCTGTGTAACTAACGTGCAAATATAATTGGTTACTTCATGTTTCAAGAGACGTGAGTTAATAGTCTGACAGCAGTACCTTGGCGCGATTGCAAAACACGTCCATGACTTATAGGACATTTGTTTACAAACACTTCAAGCATTATTAGTTAGTAAACTATCTAATTTACGTAAGAATCAGCACTTACATCCCCCTGGAATGCGTTTCTTCCTTTTCTTGGTTGTACGGGAGCTGAATAAATATCTGCATTTAACAGTCTTAATCGTTTAGTTGTGATCGGAGGTCAATTGAAGGGTCCTATTATCCTACAGTAGTTGCCTATGTCTCAATGCTTTTATACTAGGGACTTGCTGGACCCTCAACCGATGCGTCTTCATGCAGGCAATACACACTTTGAGTTTCAGGGTCAGAATTTTGCATTTACAGGAGGCATACAGAATGAATGGGTGGGGTAAAAATTCATTTCGCTCACTGTTGATGCATTGTTAAGGCTGAATTTACCCTGATAAACTACATCTTAACGTAAGGGCTAAGAAAAATTAAGGTGGCCTTCAGGAACAGTAGATTAACAACCCAAAAACTCGCAACTGAACGATGAAATACTGGTAATCCCGACATTTTTGCTTACCCCGACACAAACTTTTTCTACACGCGACCTAAGCAGGAAAGCCATTTTCTTCCTATTCGAGTATATTTCAAGGGGTGAGAATCGTGAAAAAGTGAGTTGGATAATCATCAACGCATAATAAAGGAAAGAAATCGTCGATTGGCGCCACTTGGGTAGCATTAGTAAATCATCGGCACACCGTCGGCATAGCCATCTGGCTAAACGAACACACACGGACAAGCACAAGTGGCTTTTACGACTAAACTTCACTATCTTTCTCAGTGTGTGTGTGTGTACCGAATGCAATGCCGTTTTACTACAATTAGCCTGTTTATTTTTCTCTCTAGGCTGTTTTGAAGAAGACTTCTCCTACGCGATATAAGTGTTAGCATTCGCGACCACCAGAAATAGTTCGCTTTCTGAGCATGCGAATATGGCATCGAACTAAATGTAAAGTTAAAATAAGAACTCAATTATTTTACCAAGAGTTTTTCAATAAATGTTGAAGCTTGGTAGTTTGGTCACGTGTCAGCATGTCACAGTTGTCGTGATTAATAAGGAAATATTCCCGTTCGATTACCTTGAACGAATGTCCTTAATAAATTCTTAGTATTAAAGGCCAAAACTGAAACGCCTGTGGAATGGAAGTGTCAAGAGTTGCATTCAGCAAGATTGAGCCCGATGGTGGCAATATTGCTGAGCATGTACATAAGGCGGCAGGTTGAGTTACACAGCAATTATATTACTCTGTGGTTAAGGACGGGCAGTACACTAAACCAGCTGTCCGGCAATATGACACAATTGCATATACGTTTGTTAAAAAACATCGTGTTTCAGTTACATTAATCCACTAATAGTATAAGAATGGGATTTCCCGAGTTATTTCTAGTTGTGTGTCCATCAGGTCGCTGTGGAATTTTTCAATAAGTGATGAGCTTTTCCCAATCCCATCAAAGAAAGTTCAAAACGCTTTCTTTGGCTCTCATTAACATGCCGTGGTTTTGCTCCTCTGGGTTCTGTAACAAAAGCAGTCCAGTCGACTAAGGAATAGCAGTCTGGAAGTTATCAATATTTCTCATATTATCCTATTAAAAGGCTCGTATTTTGGTCTATCAACTATTACAGCTGGCCTGCTTCTATGGAGCGCGTTTTTTTGATAAAAATATATGAGTTACCGCATATTATATGAGATTTTGCTGGGTCTTTTTTAAATTGTAATCATCACCTAAGCACATGAGCGCCACAAATGCACGAATTCCGTCTGCTTCGTCCTCTAGTGTAAGCCACCATGTATTACCTATAACAGGGAAAAATTCTTAGCAATAAGGATTGGTGTACTTACTGGAGTTTCGGCATTTCCACTTTGAGCATTTAAACAGGTTGTAACCTCAATTTCAGACTCAAAGAAATGACTTCAAGGTAGGTCGCAATACAAGTAGTTTCTAGGTCGTCTTTAAAATCGCTGTGCAGATGCAAAATCCAGGTTAATTGCATGCACAGGGGTAGCAGGGTGGCTGAGGTTATCGAAGTGGTCCTTTTACGAGCGAACAGTGGCGTTGTCCATGCTAAATCGCCTCCCAGAAATTTAATTGCCCAACTGGCCAAAAGTTCACACGCAACGTGCGCTTATTGCTGCCACCGCGTGAGCTTTTTCACACCTGTGAAGACGATCGCGGAAAACGAGGAAGGCGATTAGAGAGACCGAAATTGCTTTTTTGAATTTGTTAAAAATAAAAATTGACCTCCAACTCTTTGATCCCTTCATGAAAAGCAGACCCTTGCTTTCATGCACCCACTAATTGACCCTCAGCTTTGATTTAAATGCATGCAACATTTAGCCTTTCTGTCTAGAGGGTAAATCGATGACGTAAGCGAAATCCAAACATGGTAGTGTAGCCAGTCCTTCGATTTTGCGAAGCACCTTACTTGGTGCTTTTTAAATGAAATATATCACAAAGGCTAGTGCTTAAAATAATTTCTGAAAGGGAGAGATTAGGGGATGGCCTGACACGTTCGATCAAAAGCCAGCGACACTAGCGGATTCACAAACCCGTGGCACCCACACCGAAGGGCGCACATGAGCAGATATTAAAATGTCAAAACCATTTGACACTTAGTTCCTACTGAGTTGATGTTTTGTGCAACTAATTATGGAGAAAAGGTGGCATAAGGCAGTTGTGAGCATAACTTCAGAATCACATCGATTTAATAAGGTTGCAGTTATGACTAACGACCTAGGTTTACGTTCAGGCTACTCTGCAAAAAGGAATTGACGGCGTTTTGAGTTTAACTGTCCGAAACACATTTTCATCGTATCACCTCAACGTAGTTTGAAAGGAAGAGGATGAGCCCGACCGATAACGCGCCGAAATTTGGAAACAGTTGTTTCTCTAAAGCATAGCTTGTATCCGCTTAGCTTTACTCAAGAGACGATTATCTGTGAGAAGAGCACTTGAAGAGTTGTGCACTTCTCACTAACCACGTGCTCTTATTCAGGAACTTAGGATTTGTTGCACTGATTCATTCCATTTTCCGCTACAAGACGGAAGCACCTACTATAGAACCGTTTGGAGGTCAATATGCACAACAGATTTCAATTTTTTGCAGCTATGATAAGGCAGCTCACGAAGTGAATTATTGCATCTGGATTTGGAACAATTCGCCGTCAAGGATTATGAGGTTTGATAGCCACTGAAGTTGGGAATTTCCATTGGTAAGCTTTGGTGGCACAGAATTCACGCAATAGTTTTGGTGCCAAGTTTGACACGTGGGTTCTCCAAGTACCTCTTTGTTAAAACACGTGTTTGGCGGCTGGGAATTCAATTTTACAAACAACGATATTTCAGAAGATCTGAAACCCCAAATACTCTGATAGAACACGCCGACAGATGAAGTAATCAGGAATGATATTTCCAAACATAAAATTTTTATGCAACACATTTTGCACCAAATGCTGTATGAATATAAGTAAGTTAAATCAAGTATTAAATGAGGAACTTCAAATTATCTGGATTTCAAGATTTTCGAATTCAATTTTCCTACATTTTAGTTTAAGCAGGAAGATGTAGGCAAATTTAAGAACTTAATCAGTCTCTCATATCGAAATGGCTTTTTGATTAATCATAAAAGAAGCAAATAGATTCAAAATCAATAAGGGCTCAATACGATAAAAGCGAATTTTCCCCTGTAATTTCATCGACTCAATGCTTGGAATTGACGTTAGATGGTTGTAAAAATAAATGGATAATAAAATCCCCCTTTAACCTAAACTTGTTTACTGAACTCTTATTATAATTCGAAATTCAATGTGCATTATGGTCTTGTTTCTTCATACAATATAGCATTTTTGAGATATTTCATATGACATTACAAATGGTAAGAAGTTCTCAACAGCCTATACCTGTTTGATTTAGTCGGCGGGACTATGCTCACCGAACACATTCCACATCTCCTGGTGCGATTAAAATCGTCCCTCTTTTAACAACTTCCAGGATTTTGAAATTTACGGCACCCACTCATTGGTAGCTCTACTTGCAGTATAATAGTAACTCAATTTTCATGCTGTGACTTCAATCGTGGCTTTAAAAAGTGTGTGATTGGAGATTTTGAGAAAAACCCTCAATACACAGTGTCACATTTACAAGTCCTGCTAGAAGAACGATGAATGAAATGACATGGCTGTCAGACGGGAAGCTCGGTGCCCAATCAAGGCTGAAAATGAGACAGTGGTTGAACCTTAATCTACTGTAGTACATTTGCTTAAAATTTCACACTTGGAAAAGCGTAGCTTGTGTTAAGGCTCTGAAATTTGAGCTTTGTTGTTTGTTTAAAGCTCAGGCCTTTTCGGACCATTGACATTTTGTCCAATCCCTGTTATGCCCACGACAGCAGCGCACATATCCCCAAAATCTGATTGGATAGCGTGCGGCGCACAAGGTGACCATTAGCGCAGCCCCACTCATTGGCTAAAAGAGTGTGATAACACGGATTCCTGCTTGTATCGCAACAGCCTATTTCTACTTTCGGGGGTGGCGCAAAAGTGAGATGGAAACCGCATCTTCAGAAAAATATTTGTTTTTTTCTGGAAACGAGTCGAGTCAGTTTTGCAACCACCCACAGGATTTACAGTTACTTCGCGATCAAGCAACGAGACCACAACCACCGATGATTGGAAGCCTCCACGCCAGCCCCTTCCATCGGTCAGCATTTAGTGCGCCCATCAAATCGTCATCTCCTCAGCAGGCGCAGAAAGACCAGGTGTGCAAACAAGCGTATTGTTGGCAGTCCACGTCAGAAGAGTGGAGAACTCCTGTCTTGAACGAACATGAAAGAAGATCGCTGTTTGGTACACCAGTCGATTGGGAGGAGGGACCTATCGACCTCTCATTGTCGAAGGAGAAGAAGAATGTCATCACAACCAGGTAGACAGTGCCTTGAAACGAACTTAGTTTTCTCGTATGTGACTGACTACTATTTTACCTGAAATAAGTTGGAAGCGATTGTGTTACACTGCGATTACGAGTCCTATACTTGGTAATTTTGATACTAAACTTGTTTCCCGTTCGACAAGTTTTATCTTGCTTAGGAATTATCTACCGAAATGGCAATTATTGCCAACATAAACAAGTCAACTAAAAGAGGACATTTGAACACAGAACAGGTAGGTGTAATTTGAGCAGAAACTACAAAGTCTAGATTTGTTTCATAACGATTTAGATAAAGTTTGGTGGTTCTTTTTTCAAACCGCTTCATTTTCCAGGTTATTTTTTAAAATTACCTTGTGCTCAGAGCACCTTTGTAAAATTTAGCAAAGATGTGAGAGTAAATGCGTTGCCAAGATCATACTTTCACACTGTTTCATTCTAATACGACAATTGGGGAGTTTTATAAGAGCTAGAGTTTCCTGAAGCACTTATAATGACAGCCCAGACTTAATGCACAACTATACAATCTATACCGCAACCACACTGACACTGTCTCAAAAAAATTTAGCTTCTTAGAGCAAACCTAAAACTTTTTATGCACGGGAAGTAGATTCACGCTGAGTTAGATAGCTAGATTTCGGAAATACTCAGCAAGCTTTGAAAATCAGTTTATTTTATTTTGATTTTCTATTCGTCAGGATAGATGATGCCGGAAAGGAATTAGAACTCCAAATTCAGTTATTCCTTGTTGATCTAAGAGTTATTTGCCAAGGCCTTTAGTGTTCTTGTATAATCGGTGGGAAGCTTGAGGTCACCTGAAAGTATATTCCGTCTGAAAGAAAATAAAAGCCCCATGTATTATGAAGCTGCGCAAAAATATGAAGGAACTAGATGACCTTACTCAGATTTCATAACCAGCAAGTTTATTCAATTAGGAAACACGTATAAATTTACGTCTTGGTACATCAAGAAGTCAGTCTTCGAAGCATCTTTAATCGCTTTATCTGATTGCATGTGACGGAATAAAGCCAATTCTCTTATCCACCTACATTGATTCTCGTCGCTCATTTTTCCCACTTTTGATAACTGTAAGTTTCTTTGTGGAATCACTTGTGTCGACGCTCTTCAAGATCCGTCAAATAGACAACACGGTTGTTTTTTGTGAAATCCTTTGAAGTCGCAAAATGCTGACTCATTCCCATTCGATCAAGACCAATTCCTTGCATTTTTGCCTCGCATGGTTCATGCTCCACCCCAACTGATAAAATGCACTTTGGCATACTCATTAATTCCAAGTTAAACCAAGCCAAATTCTGATCATTTGGTTGGTGCAATACCTAATCAAAAAAACCTCAAATGCGTAGAATCTGCAACGCCTGTTCTATTTGTTGTTTCACTAACTTTGCATGTGGCCAAGTTGTGGTCTTTCATAACCGTATTCTTGATTTTGTTCATTATCTATTACTGCTGCCATTTCTGTGCGGTATGTCCTTTTGATGCAAGGTTTTCACCCCTCTTTAGTGCCAGGAAAAACTAATTTGAAGTAGATGGAACCTACTTGCTTACCTTTTAAAGAGCTACTTTTGACAATCACAGCTAAGTTTATTTGAATCAAGTAGACCCTCTAAAGGTTTGTCACCGCCTCTCTATTGAAAGTGACTTAGCAAACTCGCCTGACAGTGGCAGTTACATATGAGAACTCAGAGCTGCGTGTACGAATTTCGGCTTAGAATTTGGAAGGTTGTCTGGGCTACATGAAGTTAAGCCTTAGTGAATGACACCTGGACCATGTGCGCTGGCTCTAATCGGCCCACTTGGATCTCAGCCGATTCTCCTTTTAATATGCTCTTGTATCCGTTGTTTGCACACGCCAGTGGAGTACACTTTGAGCTGTCCTCTGTAAAACCCATCATTAGATCACTGTGGTGTGTAGTCTGTTCACGATATCAAAAGTGTTCATCTATCGTGCTTTATCTCTTAATTGATATTAACGTTGTTGGCACTACTTGTAATCCTTCATATTGTGAAGATCACCCATGGCTTTAAGATTTTTTACTCATGGTTTGACGTTACATCCTAAATTCTAGCAGAGGTAATCTGCCCAATGAAGTTACTTTTCTTTACACATGCGAAAGTTTATTCGGTTAGACCACGACATTGTCAAAAGCCTTCTCTTTTCCCAAGAATCATGAGTCACCCAGTTACCGGCGTGAATTAACACAGCTTGATTTAAAACAGCATTTATATACTTGAAACCGGTACACCTTTTAAATTTACTAAGGTGTGGCGCACTCTATTAAGCGATCTTACACCTACGCATTTAATTACAGCTTGTGCAGTAACACAGAAAGACTTGAATGCATGGACAATGCGATTGGTCCCGAAGACCTGACTGTCCACGCGTCGTCCACACGCGTTGCAAGTCCAAAGACGGCGACGGGGCGGACGTCGACGTCGAACAGGAAGACCGGGCGGAAACTCCTGCAGTGTCCCGTGCCCGGTTGTGATGGCAGCAGCCACGCATCAGGGAACTACGCCTCTCACCGCAGTATCAGTGGCTGTCCAAAGGCTGACAAGGCGATGGTTCAAGCATTCCATGTGGAACAGAAGTACGAAAATCTCTAGATTTTCACCCTATTAGGCCAATAATTGTCAAGGACTCTGTAGATAAGTCGCAATTTGTGTAAGACCCGGTTTATGTAGAACTTACCTTTTCATAATTCTGTTATTCTGCAATAAAGGCATTAGTTGGTTGGAGTGAAAAAAGCAGAGATTTCATATCTTAAAGTTTAATGGAAATTTTTCCCGCCATAACCTACTCCGGATATAGATAGTGAAGTGATTAACACAGCACGTAATAGGATCGAATTACACAAAAAGTTGAGCGCTGCCATTAGAAAAGCTTGTCTTAAGTCTACTTTAAAGTAAGTCATAGAGTACAAAAGCACTAGCTCCTTTACAAATTCACCTTAGATGACGACTGCTTGATGGCGATAATAGTTAGTCTGTTCAAACACCGGAAGTAATTTTGTTTTTGCCCGAATGGATTAGTCTGAAATGTGCGTTTTTCCAACAGGCACAAAAATACTTGTACATGCGCTGTGTTGAACTGGGAAAAAAGGTTTCGGCGAGTTTTAATCAATCACCTGGGGTTGTAGATGTCCGACACCAGGATGCGATGGCTCGGGCCACGTCACCCGGAACTACACCAGTCATCGAAGTCTGAGTGGCTGTCCACGCGCCCACATGCTCGGCATCAGGCGCCAGCATCAGATCCTCGCTCTTCGCAACCAGCAGCAAATGCAACTCAGTTGTCTAGGCTTTTCTCGATTAAATGGGATTCCAGCAATTGAAAAATATGCATCGGTAGATAACGACTGCGGTTCGCCATGGATACAGGACCTAAGGTACGAAATTTTTGGGAAAAAGAATCCCCTAGAATTTAGTTATTTTATGATCAGAGAACAAGCTAAATTGCGATGGGGGTAAAATGATTGATAAAAGACTATTAAGTGGTCACATTCAAGCTGCCTACTGCATTTACATTGAAAATACTCAAGATTTAAATAAATTTCAGCCTTTAGGGCCAACGTTGCAAGGCTTTCTGGGGGCTCGATAAGTACTCTGTAGCAGGTACCAAGCTTCATTATGGCCTATAAGGGACCCCATGTTTTCAAATTAAATTAATATTAATCGTCGACTAAGTTTATACCTTTAACTGACGAAAGGGATGTTTACAGCTAATTTCGTTAACCTTAAAACCATGGTTTTTACACAAATTAACGTCAGTCTTGCTACCTACTCAGTCATGGTCTGTGAAGGCCTTCGCAAGTGGTTTTGCTGTCAGGATGTCCTTTCAATGGCTTCTACTCATATAACAAAAATTAGGAGCTATAATTTGCGTTTCTAAAAATTTTACCGAGTGGTTGTGAGAGGTCAAGTAGAAACTTTCAAGAGCGCTTATCACTATTTGAATGATAGACAAATGAATTGCCGGAATCCTCTACCAAAGGCAACAAAACACTTCTGTCTTACATGAGAGCAGCAGACAGTGGTCTTGGCTGCCATATATGACTAAATAAGGGCCTTCGTCAATTGACATTAGTGACTATTTGTAAAAACCAACTATTACTGAAAGTAACTGATTTTTCATCAAGACTAGAAGTATAACATTAAAATGCTACGGAGACTGACTGATCTGTTCTATTTTATGCTTGACAGTCAGCAGCCTAAAAATAGAACATAAAACAACTACTACTATTCTGTTGAGCCAAAGGTCACAAACTGTCGTTTCAAATCATTTTGATTATTTAACATAGATCAATTGAAGCACATGAGGGTTCTTTGCATTTCCTACACTTCACTTAGGAGCTCTATAAGCGTCTCCACAAACCTTAAACAAGTAAATACTTTAACTTGAAAACCGGTGATACACATTTTTGGCCCTCACTATCATCTCTCAAACCATGGAAGAAAGATGTTGAAAAGACGGGACTCTGAAGGACACGCCTCCGTCTGTGCACACGCTAGGCATCGTAGGCGTCCCTTGCGTGGGGGCATGTGACACTTTTGGCGGAGTTGATGTGTGGTTATTGGTGGTCGACGCGTGTGATGGAACCGCTCACACAGGCCTGTGGTGATAAGCCTCCTCAGATAAACCACTCGGATTTGAAGGGCGATTTATCAAGGGCTGCACATGGGTTATCATTTTAATGAATAAACAGGCTCATTTTAATATTTAGTAATTTGAAGAAAACAAACTATTTTATTGATTTTCTATTCAGAATTAATCCAGACAACTCACATCCACGCAACCAAAGCAGTCTGAACACAGTGTCTGGTCTTCAAATCAACGAAATGCAACAAGTCTCAGTGGTGGAGCCCGTAGGTCGACTGCCTGACACGCACGATGCCCGATCAGGCGGATCTCCCTTTTCGAGCGTCAACCTCCTGGTGGGCGAAATTTCACTACCAGAAGTGGCAAAAGGGGCCTCTCCGTGTGACTAGAACACATTGCTGTGTATTGTACATAGAGATTCGACCATATGAAAATCACCTTTTTTCAAATAATGTTGGTCCACTTAGAGTCAAACCTGCTTCTCCCTCCTGTTCAAAGGGTACTGCATTAAAATCCAGGTACTCATCAGTAAATGCATACAAATTACTTTGATATTAAAAAAAATGTTTTCTGTTAGAATATTGAAAGCTACTGCGATTTCATGGATTCAGGTATTCTTTGAAGAGAGGATCTAATCAAGAAGCACACATGGTGTCTTCATCATCTCAAAAAAAAACTTTTAGCAGGATTATTTACACAGCCTCGTAACAGACTGGAAAAAGGGGATCACTGAATCAGTCTACATTTGGAGTGCAACAATGACATGTAGGCAGTGGATTCTACATTCATTGACCTTGCTTGATTGTCGAATTTGTGTTGAGTGGGTCGATAGTCTGTGCTAAGCAACAATTAGGCCAAAATAATGGACAACAATATATTTACTTATTTTATTATTATGAGGTAACTTTTGTGTGAGTAAACTTATCGTTACAAAAAAGAAACCAGAAATTATTGATCTTTGCATTACATATCTGTCTGGACTGGAAAACTTAGGAGGCGCGTGCAATTCCACTTTATACAATCTGCAATGAAAGCCATGTTTAGCTGTTCGACTTTCAAGAAACACAGTTGTGGTTGTGTTTAAGTGTTAACTTAAGTGTTCTGATCAATAAAATCACAAACCTTTTGTTAACTTCTGATCTAACAAGAGAACACTCAAAATAACAATAGTCCGAAGGCAAAGTGTCCATTTTCTGAGTGATGATGATCAAAATGGGCTTCGGAAGAGGGAGCGGGAATGCGATTACCGTGCCAATGTCAGACTGCGAACTAAAGTTCGGGTGATAAAATCATTATGTGTACATTGTCTTTAATAGTTTTGTTTGACACAGCGGTAATACAGTACAAGACGGAGACTATTCTAATCTTCTACAGTAACAGTGTTTGTTCAAATACATTTGTAGGAAACTTTAAAGTCTGTATTAACTTCAGAATTTAAATAATTGTTAGAGGTGCAGGTTAAAATTTTTAGAGAACAAAAATTTGTGGAAGACAAGTTTCCTTAACTGAAAAAAATGCATCCACCAATTCAACAAACTAGTTCTAAAATCGATTTTAATATAGCCTATTTGTCTAGCTAAACTTATTTTTGATAGGTGTTAAGGAATTAAATACAAGGCAAATATGATCTAAAACACAACCACGACATCTGGAGCGATATTACAAAATGATATGGCAAAAAAAGTAAAAGATTAGATAGATATCCACAGAGTAATGGTTTTGCAAAAGCAATGGCCAAAAGTAGAAATCTAGCAGTTTGGAAACTGTCAAACGCTCACGTGAATCTTGCCACCCGTTCAATTTATGATTGAAGCATTAGACTAATGTGAATTCTAACGGGGTATTTTGAAAGAACTCAAACCGAAATCATTTATTGTCAAATTTCATTTTTAAAAGCCGAATAGAAATTTCAATAATCGCATGCACCCAGGCAATCTAATCATAACTTAGGACGAAACTTAAAAGTTCCAGTATTTTCATTTATTTCTTCCTAAAGTAATTAGTGTGGCATCCATTACCTATAATCCTTGTCATAAAAAATCAAATTTTGTACCAATTATTCAACTTAACGTCGTGTCAATAAAAAATTGGAATTTATGAGAACATATTTATTTTCCTTACACAGTAATGTCAGCTAGCTCTTCTAGATGCTTGTCTAAAATAATTAAAATTAGGCGATTTTCGCAGGAACGCCTAATTAGCATGTTTGTATCACGCTTGTTACTATGCCCTGGTTCCCCATAGTCAGACACGAAAAATACCATCACATTGCTCGCATCAATTTGCCTTAAAAATCACGTGCTCAACGTTCATAAGCTCTAGATCCATATTACGCCAATATATAAACAACAGAACCATTGTACAATTTTTTTAAACCTGTGAGATTAATCACACAACTTGGTATATGCAAATCGAATTTCAATTTGAAAAACAAGTGCATGTGAGTTAAACAAGGTCCTTACTTAGTGAATGTGCCAGTCACGAAAGGTTAACGATGACTAATAACTGATTTTTAATCTATCATTAATTTTAAGCTCTAAACATCTGGTTTTCGCCGATTTGCTTGAGCAGCTAGAGATCAATAATTCAGCATTTTTCCTAAAGAAATAGTTATTTTGGAACAAGTCTAGTTGTTTTGCATTTAACAAAATAAAAATTGTTTTATGATCCTTTATCTTATGGAGACGCTTTCGCAAATTGTTTTAACGGATGATCCGCCAGCCACATCTTTAGAAAATGGATAGGTCTGAGGCGTTGAAGTTTTTGCGACGAAAGGATTCCATTCTAGAAAATCCTGCGTTAGTAGCAGAAGCAATTGATGTGTATGTAAATTTAATAATTTTAACGACATACATTTCAATGCTTCGTTGCATGGACTGTTTTCGGTTAATTGTTAAAAATTATTTTACTTAACCGCAACAACAGTTAATTTCAATAACGCTATTGTTTACCTTTATATCGCCTAAATATCTGAGTCTATCGTGGATAGGCTAGTAGAGCAAGGTTGTACCTTTAGCCGTGGTAGAATCCGGTCTGTAGTTACGTGACGAACGTGCTGAATTTTCGTTAATGAACTCTATCTGTTATCTCGTGTGGCATCCGTTACTAGTTGGTTAATTTGATTTTCACTTGTATCAAATCTACTAAAGAAAATATGGGCATTAATTCCTTAAATAGCCTTTTAGCTAACAATTTATTCTCGTCGCATTATTTGTACAGTGCTTTTTCACCTAGAGGATTTGATAACCACGTTTGAGCATTAAATTATATTTAAAAGTAATCCGCAAGTATCCTCCAGATGTTGGATTAGTTTGCACCATCCATTTCTATGCATTCTACTAATATTATTTCTACGTAATTGTTCTCCAATTATTGTTTTTGTATTAGCCGCAAACTTTCTGGATTATTTGTAATGGTGCCTTAGTATGGTCTTATTGCATCACTATATCAGCTCTTTTTTTAAATTTCAGGCACGCATTTGCGTCACTAAATTATGTGTAGGAGTTTGTGGGTAGTAACGAGGATGGTTATCCGGAGTATTTTACGATTTTTCATGTTCCTAATGTCGTGCTGTAAAATGTATTTTGGTGACAGTCAGTTTAATTTGCTCCTCGTCTTTTTGACGTAGACTTTTCAGTATAAATCACATAGCTAATTAACTATGTGAAGCGCACCAACCTAAAAGTTTACCGTCATTTTTTCCAATTATTTTAATTATTAGTTCGTCTCCTGTCAACCGCCTAGTCATGGAGGATTGTGATTCTTTTTCAATAGAGTCCAAAATACGGCTGTGAAAACCGGTGAAGATGGTTCCGCTTCCGATGACGACGAGAACACTGAGGATCCAGCCAAATTATTGATTGCAAATTACAAAGGTGCAATAGAGTTTCTTTTTGAAATCGGCACTTGGCTTACTTACACCGACGATGATGCTCAATCAACTCGAAACATTATTGAATCCGTTGTTATGGAGACCATTTTGCAGAACTATGACCGCTCCAAAGCTATCAAGTGCCTCACTGATGATAACGTTTCTGTAAGCAGCATAACTTGCATCCAGTTATGTCCATATTTCATTTTTATATGCGGTCTATGTAATTGGCCTCGGTTAAGTGTCCTGGGGAGCTACTATTCGCTAGCTATTAGTCACGAACAGTTCGTGCTCTGATTGATACCTAGCCTCCTTATTATTCCTTAGTTTTTCTAAATAGGTCAGACACATAACTCTAATTTACTAGCATACTTTTAACCTTGTGTAAATTGTTGTCTTTTCTCACTTTTTTGAAATTTTACTTTTCAGTTTAAAAAGTTTTTTTATTAACTAGTGAAAATTATAAAAAAACTGCACGTATATATCATCTGGCCTTTGTAAATTTACGTCAGGGAACTCGATTCAAACGCAGTTTTTTACGTTGTCGTATAAAAGGTAGTTTCGTTTGAAATAATTTGCTCAATTTCTTGTACGTGAGCCAGATCACCACTGAGTGGAGTTACATGGTCTGCCATGTACACATGTTTGTGCTTATAACTGACTGTTTTATTTAAGGATACCATGGAGTGGCTAAGCCAAATGATCGAATCTCCAACCTGGCGTCAGACTATTTACGAATTGGCTCAGCAACCTCGCAACGAGGACTGCCCCTTCCTCTCGCTCGCAATGCCCTGCATAGCGGTCAAAGACGAACTCATTGGCGAGTTGATTTCAGTTCCCTTGGCTTGGAATACGCTTGAGATTTTCCTCAAGTGCGTGGCCTACATCCTCCACCCCCTGCTAACTGCCGATGCCGATCTGATTGACGATGATTTGTTCCTACACGACATCGCCTTTCTTAAACCTGTCGTGAAGTCATCCATACAACCCACGGTCCAGTCGCTGCAGCAACAGCAGCAGTACCAGCTGGACACGATAGTCAACTCCGATCGGGTGGACAGTGAGGTGGATCCAAACAAAAAGCGAATTTACCAAATTCTCCGTCACTTCTTGGTGTGTCTTTCGTACTCTATTTTTCTCTCCGGCAATTTCGCTTCTCAGTGATAATATTTGATCTACCGCGTATTATGTTATCGTGGATTTTTGAAGACAAAATTAGCATTAGGTGCCAAGTCAGTGTCTTCCTTACGCTGCCTTCAGTTTACTATCGAAGATGCCTCACGCTAAGCATTTGTCACGTCTAATTTTCATTGGCTACCCTGAATGATAATACTGAGGTCAATTAAACTGAGTGGAAAACCCGCCATTCATTCCGTCTGGTGGTAAATGTGGAAACCAGTAAAGTGCTTCCAAATTGAGTAACTTCATGCAACAACTCACTGGGTTGTGACTTCATATATTGCCTATGTACAGCAAATTTATCTTCACGTTCAGTCACGGGGGATACACTTCTACAGCCACTTTTGTTTTGGATAGACCAATCGACATTTTTTCAAACAAAGATGAACCCTTTATCACTTTACTTAATTTAGTCAATTTACTAAGCACGGAATTATTCCTTGGCAAAGGCCTTCCTATCGCATACGCTGCACCCTTTAGACCCTCTATTATTGTAGGTAGATCGCGGTTGTTCTATTACAAACTGCATTGTCTACGAAAGCTTCTACAGCTGTACTATCTATCCTGTCAATAGTGTAACGACTTAGACCTGTGTGTTCAATTTCCGATAACCTATAATCACCATGAAATTTGCAGGATATGGGTTGCCACAGTGAACACACTTACCTAATCATCCAATCCGTGTTGCAATGCCTCATCCGCCAGAGGAAGGACAATTCAGCGAAGCGCCTCAGTTGGCTCCTCGAGTCGGAGGCGACCAGGCGACATCGCGACGTCAGTCGGTACAGCGTCTACTTTTGCTTTGCGCGCGACTACCCCACCGAAGTGGCTGCCATGCGGGTCATCCTATGTGAACAATCGCTTGTTCCCCAGCATGTAGATGTGGTAAGCACAGTCGGTTTTCCTCACTACTGTCGTCAACCAACTCTTGGCGTTTCAAAACATTGGCGTCGGTAGCCATGTCTGTTTGTCCAGCTGCGTTTGAAGTTACGTAAGAATCATACGGTTTTTTATGTTCTTCGTCTGTCTGCCTGCGTGTCATTTTGTGACTGCGAATGATATCACAAATGACTCAGATCATCACCAAGTATGACTTCTGTTAAGAGATGGGTGCTTGCATAAAATTGATTGTTGTCTGGTGAGCAAGTTATTCCCTTAGTCATTGGCTTCATCGTCGCCATAACTCATTCTCACCAAACCAACTTACCTAGTCGTGCACGGTAGAACGCTATGTGAATTCTGTTTCCTATTTAGTCTGTCTTTTTTTACTGTCAATCCATTTCCTTTCTAGTTGTATGAGTCCTACAGGGCCGAGGCTCCTCCTCCAGTCAACCTTATTCGCCAGCCCCTCTTTATTGGTTAGTGATTAGTGCTATAAACTGTTAGGGGCCCTCGAAACCCGCTTGTCGTCTTACCCCTCACACTGCTTAATGCATCCAGGCTCAAGCATTTTTGTCTCCTTGTGGAATTCATGCACTGTTTGCGCCACTTTAGAATTTTAAAAGCCCTACTCCCAATTCCATAGTTACTTTCATTAACTAGGCGAACCGGCGTATTTAACTGCAAAACTACATTACCGTTTCGGTTTGGGCTAAAGTCAAATAAAACTCACATTTTTCTTGGCGAAGTCTGAGTTCGTTGTCGTGAATCCTTTGGAGGACTTCTTCGATCCGTTTGCCCAACTCATCTTGCGAGGTAGCTACGATTAATAGGTCGTCGAGGTATGCTGCCACTCCAGGAATGCCGGCCAGAATGGTGTCCATAAACTGTTGAAAAATAGCAAGAACGGTCTTGACTCCGGAGGGTAGGCGGTTGTACTGGAATAAACCTCGATGGGTATTGATGGTCAGCAGTGGGCGGAACTCTGGAGCGACTTCCAGTTGCAGATAGGCATCGGCCAGATCGAGTTTTGAAAAGTAATTTTCGCCACTCAGAATTGTGAATAGGTCCTCTGGGGCTGGCAGAGGGTAGTGGTGTGATTCCAGAGCTGCATTTAGACCAGTGGAGAAGTCTGCGCATATCCGGATTGAACCATTGACTTTCTTTACCACAACGATTGGGGCCGCCCAGGCTGAGTATGAGACCGGGGATAGGACGCCTTCGTGTTCAAGACGTTCTAACTCAGCGTCAACCAGCGGTAATGATGCGTATGGGACTGGTCTTTTTGGACGGAAGACCGGTTCGGCGTCCGGCATAAGGCGAAAGGTGGCCTGTGTCGTAGAACAGTGTCCTAATCCAGGTTGAAAAACCGTGGTGAACTGTTTGATGATGTCCGCGGTATTTTCGCCAGGTGTTGTCGACAAGTGTATGGCATCGCAGATGGAGTTGATCGGGATATCGGCCAAACCCAATTGTTTGAACCAATCCAGACCAAGGAGGTTCAGGTTTGCGTTGAGGACATAACACTTGCCAGTGAAGATTGTTCCGCGGAAGGAAACACAGCATTGCACTTGGCCGCGGAAGCGAATTTCACCGCCGCAGGCACTGATTGCCGTTTCAGAAGTGTTTCTGAGTGGAGGACTTCCGATGGAGCGCCATTGAGTGTCCGAGATGATGGTAACATCCGAGGCGGTGTCTAGCTGCAGACGAACTGGATGACCATTGATGAGGACGGTTGTATACATCCTCTGCTGCTGTGAAGTGTCTTCGGAGGTGACTCGTAGGCTGAGATGAGATTGTGGGGCTGGCTGGTTTGGCTTTTGACCTTTCCTTCGTGTGAAGGTGAGGGTGCCGTCCACTCCTGTTAGACGGTGATTATTTGCAGTATCCGTCCTTGTGGCCCTTAGCTTTGCATCGCTGGCATCGATGTTGCTTGTAAGGGCAGAACTTGATATAATGCCAGGCTCCACAGTGCCAACACGCGGAAGGAGGAGTGTCCCTTGATCTCCTTCGACGATTTGTGTCGACTGATCCTCCTTTCGATTTCGGCTGACGAGGGCTGGGAGGGCCAGAAGTGGGAGGTGATTTTTGGGAACGTTGGACCCTATTAACTTCAGGAGCACTGCGGCCGCCAGCTTGGATCATTCTGGAGTCATGCAGCACGCTTCGCCAGTGTAGGTATTCATCTCGAATATTATCCAGCGTCACAGAGGGATTTTGATCAATCAAGTGTAGCAGCTGCGTTCGCAGATCCGTGTATTTAGGGATTTGAAGGCTGCATATGAGAATGAGAGCTTTGAGCTGGTCATCAGTCATTGATTTGAATTGACTTTTCTCGCACTCTCGATTGACCACTGCCAGATGATCAAGGAAGTCGTCAAACTCTCCTATTGCGAATTTGAGGCATTGGTACCGGGTACTGAATAAGGAGGTGCGTTCTCCAAACCTACTCTTGAGATTTTGAACGGTTTCTCCAAAAGTAAAGTCGAGTGAGGATTTGGGGAGGATAGCGTCTGTGTATTTCTTCAATTCGGCTGGGCCCAGTTTGCGGGTAAGGAGTCTGACTTTCCATGCGTCATCCTGGGACGCGAGATCGACTCAGAACAGGTCTTCGTAACGACGATACCAGGACTCAAACGTTACGCCGTTAAACGGATCATAGGAAAACTCCGAGATACTGTTGGTGAGGCCGTCAATTGACGGTGTACTGGCAGGAGCGGCCTGAGACGACTGGCGATCTGCCAGCATTACCACTAGCTGCTCGAGTAATTGTTCCAACCCTATGTCACTCATCACAAAAAAATCTTACCTGCGTCGCCAAATTTGTTACGTTTGCCCGTAACAATAGAGAATACCACTCAAATAACGGTACCAGATCCCTTGCTGAAAGCTAGAACCGACCTTCCCAGGCTAATACCAGAACAAGACCAGAGCTCGAGTAGAGAGCTTTATTCACGTGAGCCACGTGCAGAGAAGAAGTGAAGTCGAAAAATGTCATTCAAGTCAAGGTTGACCTTGACTTGATAAAAGCGCAACAAAACAAATGTTAATAAATTAATGTAAATAAAATCAGAAACCAATCTTGGGGAATCGTGGATCCCCAACACTACCTTACACTATGTTTTCTTTAGACGTTTTGTCGAAACAGTTTGCGGATTCACCTATTCGCACGATCTTAATTCGACTTAATGGGAACGTCTGCATAGACAAGATTTCCGAATTCGTTAGTCTCAGTCCCTACAAATTCCTTCATTTCGTCTTTATCGGTTGTGCCAGCCGCAATCGGTGGTAGTTCGAGACTGACAAACTCACCTTGCCCGAGTTTTGGGCCATGATTTAGCCACGCGGATAGGGAAATCTTCACTGATTCTTTCAATAGAAAATATCGCTTCCTCTGTTTCGCGTTGTGCCCACTTTACCATTTGCTCTGGGACGTCGCGTCCTCGAACCGCACTAACTCAACTTCTAATTACCGTTTGTTGCTACTTAGTCTTAGTAATTAGTTGAGCGGTGTGTCATCAACAAATCCGACGTGTCGGCTTGCCCGAACAAGCAGAATCAATTACGCAAATGGATTCGTGTGAAGCGAAAGTCATGATTGTATGTATTCCCCCTTGGTTTGCCGATTCTCTCCAGAATACATTCACCCCTTTTCTCGTCTTTCACACCTCACTGTGCTACTGAGTGAGATTGTTGTCGTGTAGCCTGCTACCCGAAGCATCGTGATAACGTGTGATGGTGCATTATCCGAACACTTGGTTGTCCTGTACCACTTATAGCCTCCTGTACTGCTATGCTTCTTCCATCGTCGCATACTCCAAACGGCTTTCTGAGGCATTTGTATGACATAATCAAAGGTCACTTAATACAAGCAACATTGGTACAAGTCTTACTAGCTCCCGTTTGCCCTTCTGGCCAAGCTGTGCAGAAAAGTTCATTTCAATTATCAAAGTTAATGTTTCTACTGTAATCTAGTAACTACCTTTTTTATAGTAATGCTTGCTGATGCCTTGTTTGCGAATCCGGAGCGTCTGCTAAGCAAACAGCAGGAGTGCTACGCCTACATCTACGCCTACGCCTCAGTTACCGTGGAAGAAGTGGACTGTGACACCGAGCGTCGCATCCACTTGGACCGATCTCGAGTCTCTGAGGCGAATAAGGAGGTTCTTGAAGCTAGTCGTATCTGCAAGCACGTGAGTCACCTTGTTTTCTATCTAACCCCAGTTTCATTAGCAATGTTGCTGTTACATGTGGGGCAATAAATTGATTCTGGTACATTTGGACGTGACGTGTGTTTTCAACAGGCTGTGATATGTACAAGACCTATTTAACTTAGTCTTCATGACACATCATACAATCTAGCGCCTGTGTGACGGAACGCTGGACTTTACAACTGCAAATACTGCTGTGGAGGGCTCAGCACGAGTTTTAATTGCTCCTCAAAGCAGACTCCATGTAAGTGAGGGAGCTTTGATGAAGACATCGGGTTCCTTCATGTAGAATGAGATTAGAACATCATTGCTTCAGTTGGTGTCTTTTAGGTAAAAGTGTGGCACCTAGACCAGTGTCGTAAGTTGGTTTTATTCACCGATCAGCACCACTTCGGAGACGTAGACGCTCACAGTACACCTGCTCTCCATCCTCGGTTTTTAGTGGAACAACATGACGGGAAGCGGAGTCAGCCTGCGGGCGTTTCGTGACCTGCCCAACCTCCTGCAATGCCTCAACCACAGGGCAGTCGCCTTCGGCGTGTTCCGCTTCCTCTGGGTCATCTTCCGCTCAAAACGCGTTGACTTTGAGCTCAATCTGGAGACCATGAAACCCTACTGCATCGTGGTGAACGAGCTGGCCAGTGTTAATCCATTTATCAGACCTGCCATACTCTCATCTGTCACCGACTTACTCGGCTCCGTAATGGAGGGCATGGAGGACCTAAGTCAGGTTAAGATGCACCACCGTTTCAATCCGTTTTTAGTTTTCACCATTCTCGCTTTTCATTCCTCATTGTCAAACTAAATTCATTCATTATTGTGCATTTGTAATATGGTAACACGTAGTTCGAACGTCGTAGGGTCGTCGCATGATTGTTTCCTGCTTTTGTAATCCTGATTTTTCGCTATTAGTGGTAGTTAAAAATCGCAACTTTGCCTTTGCCCTCGTTGGTCAACAATCTAATGCTCGGATCAAAACTGGTTTAAATTTTTGCGAATGGGAAAGAACCAAGAAATTAGGCTTTCAAGTGTCTTGGCACGTGGTGTATGTACAAACAAGGTTTATACCACACGCGGCCCATTGTGAGGGCGCCAGTGGCAGTGGTGACAGCCACGATGGTCAGTCTTATTCTCGAACAGATCCTTGCCCGCACCATCAACACAACTCTATACATGGTAATTGAACTAGTTACAATCAGGGAGGCAGGTCCCAAAAACTAGGGGTGAACCACCTTGTCGTCTGGTAACTCGGGCTTCTTAGCGCTAACATCCTTCCAAAGCTTCACTCTCATTCTCACCATACTTTCGACTTTCGCAGAAGTGAGGTGAAATGATTGGATAAAGGATCTTTGCTTTTATTTCAAAGGTGACCTCATCCGATAATGGTTTTAGCTCGCCCCCTTAGTGGAGGTACTAATTAATGTTGGAAGGTTTCCTAGAAGGGGCTTTAGGAGAAATTGAAATCTTTGGCGTCTGTCCTAGTGGTTGATGAGTATCACACCGCAGGTGGAAAAATCCAACTTCCCGCGTAGTACGTATTCATTGTTTTGGTAGAATATTTGCTTATTATTGGCCCCACCTCCGTAAGAACCTCGGCATTTCTTACGCAGATCTGGATTCTCACACTTCGTCACTTTTTCACTGGAATCCTTTGATTACCCTAATCTAAAAGAGGAAAGCACAATTCGCGTCTTCACGTTCAATAACCATAGGAAACTGTCCTTTTTAATTGCATAGAAGTATCTAATTCGGCAAGAAAATTTGTTTTTTTTTCTGATATAATTTTAGTTGGAGTACAAGCGAATGTTGGTTGGGTTGCTTGTTCATCTTGTCACTTGCGGTTACGTTCTGCCTACCATCAGGACAATGCACTCGCTCTTCGACAGGAACCGCGTGGATGTTTCCATTGCCAGACACTTTGTCACAGAAGTGAGTTATAATTGTTGATAAAAGTTGTAAATTAAGTTACTCCACGTTGACCTTAAACTGCCACGAGGCAACTAATCACGAGTGCCCTCTGTTGAGGAATGACTGGCTACGATGGTGACTAAATTAAGTTGCTCGAATAGCGAGCCGCCTTTTCACCCCCAAGCCTTGGTCTCCTGTTCTTTCGCGCAAGTCCTGAGTGAACGCCTTGGTATTGTTCCCCACCGTTAAAAATAACCGTCCTTTTTCCTTCGCAAAAGCTCTTAAATGTTGCTGCTCCGCCATACGATGTGGCTTTCATGAACTGCTTCTACCCGCTTGTCTCCCATCCACACATCGTCGACGGCCTTCAGGCGGGCCGAAATACCGATCTCGTGAAGGAATTCATAGGTGAGTTCCTGCCCCATGGTGCTCTCTGTGCGGCACCTCGACCTTAACCCTCAAGTCTGGCCTCTTTAACTTATTCGGGGCTGTGGCACTAATATGGCTTTGATCGAGTTCACATAGTCAGATTACTCGTCATGAAACTGTATGCCTGGTTCCCTACGCCATCAAAGCCATCACTGAGGGAGTGTCACGCCCAAATTTGTTATCACGCTTCTCTTCACCACCTCGTTTTGCCCCTCCTTCGCTTGGAAGCATTTTTCCATCGCCTCTTGTCTGTCTCTCTGTCACCTTGTGTTTACCATCCCTCAACTATAGTTACTGGTAAGCTTTAAAAGGTTGTTTTATGTCTTTTTTAGATTACTATGAAAAGCACAAAATTACGGACAGTCCCGAATGAACTGGGAGACGCGCAACTTTCTTTTGTGTATACATGTATTATTTTATTTTGTAAATTAATTCTACTTCACACACGTTTGGGTTTTAAAATTATGGTCCAAGTGGGGGTTAGTTTTGTTCCTACTTCAATTGCATTATGAGGAGATCAACGAGTTCATGCATCAGGTAGGGTTGCCCTACCAACATGAAACATGTTCTACCCGCATGCACGAAAATTTTACCCGAGCTTCATGGTGTTTGGTTGCACTTATTAAATTGGCCACTCGGCTTTTTGTTCTTGTTTAAATGCTCACTTATCAGTAAGTGATTGTAGGTGAATCCCTGCTGAAAGCTCATACATCAAGTTATTGGCGTGTAGGTAAACATACCGAACTGACTACGTTAATACACCAAAGACGACTCAGAATGCATTTCCGTTATAAAAAAGTGGTGTAGACCCATACGCTAAACCTCAATTAAAAATGCACGCAAATCAGTTGGGAGGGGTAACATGCTGACGAATCGGCTTAGTGCAGGGTTAACAACTACGGAGTGATGCTCAGTGATTGGGACAGATAAGAAAAGAACGGGATTAGTACAGAGAAATATTGTGCCAAGATTTTTTTTGCATTTAAAGTCTCATGTAGAAATTACCTTTACCACCGGGTCTACGTCTGCCTCTGACCTTCTGAGTCCATAGCTCTAAGGTCAAAAGCCAAAGGTCTTGCTAAGCTAATAACCAAATTACCTACTTGCTGCCGCTCTCAGAGTTTTCCACCAAAGATAAACCGGTAACTGTGACCCATGGGATTGTTGCTTGTGGATGTCTGGCATCGTTTTTCTAAGTAACTTCCAGCAATCTGAACCCAATTTTGCATTATGAGAATTGGTCAGTTATCAATGTGGCGTGGGTAGGAGCGAATGCAGATGGTCCACAGGTGTGTTAGAATGCACTAAATCTAACATTTCCACTCCCGTTTATTTACTCAAGAAAAAAAACAAGAACGAAACAGATACCTGAATGGATGGGAAACGCAACAGATGTGGGCTAGTTTTTTGCGTTTCTTGTGGTCTGACCCGATGTGTTGGGGTACTAAACACTTGCGAAGACCAAAAATCAGAAAACTGAAGCCGTTTAGCCGTTGATACGGAAACTAAATATGCAAAATCACCCGATTAAATTGGAAGTTCCTTGATGAATTGCGCATTACATCTTCAAGCGTTGCCAATGTTATTAAAAAACGTTCACTACATTTTCTTCAAGTAGTTGAATTGCGTTTTGGATACACGACCAGGGTGTCCAGAGTTGCTGTTAATTATGAACACACCCCCTCTTTTACCTTCTGCCAAATTTCGGAGGATAGGGGTTAGCATTTACAGTGGATGTGCAATTTTCTCTGATCTAATAAATCACCGAATGCATGGTGAACTCCAACGGCAAATTGAATTAGACTTCAGAGGTAAACTAATGCATGAGAGCGAATTTTGTAAGGATAGTTTGTATGTCTACGCACCACAATATCACACTTTAATTATGAAATCAAATTAAAATAATTTTTCGGAAAAATTAACAATTTTTAGTTGAAAATTAGTTTACTCTAAGCAAAATCACGCAAGCAGCAAGGCTAATCAGTGATTTAAAAAATTTATTCGGCGAATAGCTTTAATCAATATACTAGCTGGCAGTTTTGCCCATAAATCTATCTTCAAATCTTTATCTGAATTATCTTCTGCAAAATTAGAATCTCATATCTTCCGATGTCTGATGATTCAAACCAAATCAAAGTTAAGAATTGGTAAATTTTTAATTAGGTATTTCACGAAAACTGTGCAGAAAATCGACGTTTCAATATCAAGAGTGCGAGAAAATGTAGTAAGGTGAGATTGCTCGTAATCCAGGTTACGTGAACCGATAGAGCAGAAACCTGTGGTTGTAGTGATGTTATACACAACTTTTTCAACTTGCCTCATACTTTAGGATCATAGTCCTGGAGTTAAATGAATCAGGTAAAGTGAGGTCGCATTTGTAATAAGTTTAATGAAATCCAATACACAACTAAACGAAAGGAATTGGCAAAATCTGTATTGGCATTAGTTTCCGGTGATCAAAAATTAGCGTCAGATTTGCGTCTCACGTTTCTACATGCAAAATGGATGGCCTCAAAGACATGCATATATGAAAAATCAGCTTACAAGGTAGGTGTAATACCTACAAATGTATATTAAAGGAACGCACAACGACAAATGTTTCAAATACGCTTAGTTTCATTTTTCGTAATGGTAGTTAGCCGACATTTGTACACAAATACATTTAATGTTGCTCTCATGTTGTTGCACTGGGTCAAAATGAGGTCTCATTTAGTGTTCCCGATGTTTTTGATCTTAATGCACGAATTTTTGATATATAGGTCCCATGGTTTTCAGGGCAATTTTGGAGGTAGGTCCGACAGTAAGACTGTTGCCTTGATATTATTCTGAATTCATAATTTATTAGCCTTATATCTTCGACAAAACACTTAAGGCCTAGCCTGTTTCGTATACCAAATGGATTCGTACGGCTATCATGACCTGGGGGGGATTCGCAACTAGTGGAAACAAGCAATATAAAGGCAGTTTTTTTGCTCAGTATGATATGCATCCCTACTGACAATTTAATGTCGATATTTTATCTTCTTCGGCATTTTTCAATGAAACAATGACTATAACACAAGCCGACGACCAAGCTACAGTTGTGAGAAAATGACGACAGCTGTTCATGAATCATGATAATTTTCACAACTTATAAATATGAGGGATTTTCGATACCCTTGGAGACCATTTCTTCCCCAGCATTATTTTTCCATTCACCCGCGAGAGGTACAGAAATGGCAGTAAAATAAGGAATATACCACACGCAGTAATAGATTCGACTAATTTGCGCATGAAAATTAAAGGTTTTTCAGATAATATTAGCTTCATTAAAAAGAAAAAAGGCGAATTTTTGTTAAAAAAGAAAAAAGTTATTCATGTTAGATTAAAAATAAATTTAAAAAATGTATCAAATATGCCTCCTAGTACCCAGAGAAATTGAAAAGACAGACAAAACAAAATAGGTTATATCTGCTGGAAAGTAAGGCGAAATATAGATCACGTGATGTGAAAAAATATAAATACATTTAGCCAATAAGCTTGGACTGTCCAATAAGCTAGAATAAAATTTTCATCCCTTATTTATTGAATGATTGACAATTGTGATCCAATCAATCAAGTACCATTCTTTAGCAGTGTTTTTTATTTCTGTTAAATTTGTTGGTTTTTTATTTAGTAAGTGCTACGCTTAAGCTATTTATGCTAGTTTACAATATTATATTGTCTTTGTTTTAAGGAAGTAAATTTTGGAGACCTTAAATTTCTACCATCTCAAGTAGAATGAATCCAGTAAATTTATCATTTAATAAACATACTTTGATCTCAAGGACAGCTCGCTAAGACGAGTAGAATTTAGAAGATACCTTGAAAATTCTGGAATTTTAGATGCATTAACAAATGGTATCCATTTTTTAATCTGTAATAGCAAAAATTTAGCTCTTGTGAAATTATTTGAGTTACCTGAGAAGCCTACCAACCCACTGAGGTAAGATAATTATTTTTCGTTATACATGAATGAAATCTCTTTTAACCACAAAATTTTGAGAGTGACAATGAACTATTAATAAGCCACTGTCCAAGGTGGTGTGGCGATATATTAAGGACTGCATAACTCAATACGACAATTTTTAAAATTTTTTATTCTAATGTACTATATTAGGATATCTGGAACCACCATGTGGCTTTTGCTTTCTCTGACAATCTTTGGTGGAATTTAATTTTTGTACTCCTAATTGCGCATATCTTTATGGACCCAAAATATTTGTTAAACACATTTCAACCTCTGCTATTTTAATGCTATTATACTAACGTCAATATCGTGGGATTTTCTGCAGTTAGTTATTAAACATATAATATGGTTTAAAAAACAGTTTGGAAAATCGTTTTATCTCGCTGCCAACAAATAAACGGATTAGTAAAATCCCAGTAATTGTATTTTTCTCCTAGTTTATCAACACATTTTTTTCATGTCTGGTAGTAATACTATCTTCTATTGTGCTCCTAGATATCTTGCTGCCGGAAAAGTCTTTTTCTTAGTATAAATGACACTTACGCCTCGTGTAAGTGATCTAGCCAGCATAATGCCTTTACACTTATCCACGTTCTTAAAAAGTGATCGTGAATGGTTAAACGCAATCACTTTACTATTTAAAAGAAAATATTTCCTATTTTTGATGCCTACAGGTGCAACGAAATCTTAATTTTATCCTTATTTTCGGCTAATGGTATTGATCATTTAAAGCATTTACTTAACTTTATCCCTATAACCAGTCACGTGGGTGTGAAAGAACCTCTTTTCCGTTGTTACTGAGTTTTACAAAATACTAGATTAATAGCAATTTGAGTGCACGAGCGTTTCCGTTTGCAAGCTGTGAGGTGTCATTGAACGGTACCACCAGGCCCAGTGCGAACCAACTCAATTTTCTGATTCTTAAGTTTTTTAAAGGAGTGCTTTATGGTCGATGAGTCCGGAGAAGATCCCAATTTAAAGTCTGAGAACGCAGAATTAAAGGAGAAGGTGGAGGCGCTGGAAAAAACAGTGCAAGAA